CGTGCCTGCCACGCACGCGCCCGCCTCCCTCGAGCCCGCCAATCTCGCGCCCGCCACGCACGCGCCCGCCACGGACGCGCCCGCCTCACTCGAGCCCGCCAATCTCGCGCCCGCCTCACTCGAGCCCGCCACGCACGCGCCCGCCACGCACGCGCCCGCCACGCACGCGCCGCTCCGCTCGCACTCTGCGCACCACGTGCACCGCTCACTCTACATACCGCTAACTCGCGTACGCATACATCTTTATATTAGGTATTATTCATCTAAAAAATCCAATATTACCAGGAAGTGCATCGTTGATAGCCTGGAGAAAGACTTGCAGAAGGCCCGGTGAGGGTGGTATGGGCGCCACCAGGGACAAGTCCGCCGCACGGAGCGCTTCACTTACATCACAGTCCAACATAGCGCGTTGTTCCGCTGTATAAATATCAAATCAAATCAAATCAAATCAAATCATTTATTTCGGTTGCAAACATGGGTTATAAAATATACAAAAGGTGTTTAATATTTATGGTATGGTTCTCCACATTTTGCCATTATGGCATGCAAGTATTTCCTAATCAATTTATCTACAAGTTTAGCTTATACAATCTCATACAATATACGTTACCAATAAATTAAGAATTGAAATAATTATAATTATTGAATGTCAAGAAAGATGAAATTAAAGGTATCATATTACATATTAATAAGTCAGTAAGTCATCATTAAGAAAGTCGTCAATATTATAATAGTATTTGTCAAGCAAAAGTTTTTTTAGCGTCTTTTTAAATTTCAATATAGTCATACTTTTCATAACATCTGGTACCTTATTGTAGATGCGAGGTGCAATACCAAAAAAACGTTTCTTTACCAATGCAGTTTTACATGTCACTGGATATAATTTATTTACAAATTTTGTACGTATTGGATTCCTCTTGACCTCCGAAACTTTTAGGGATAGATGTGGGTTACACCTCACAAACAAGGCAGTCTCCAAAATATATAAGCAAGGCATGGTCAAAACTTTTAAAGACTTAAAATAGGGTACACAGCTGTCCGTTACCTTTAGGCCGCACATTGATCGGCTACATCGTTTTTGTGACCTAAATACCTGCTCTCTGTCGGTGGAGTGACCCCAGAAAATAATGCCATACCGCAGAACCGATGCAACTAGTCCATGGTATGCCGTCAGGAGTGCTTGGTTGTTAACTTTCTTTGAGAGTTGATATAGTGCATAATATGCGGATTTGTTTTTTTACAAAGTACTTCCATTTGAGGTTTCCATGCCAACTGCTTATCTATCGTTATACCTAGAAACTTAGTCGTGTCCGTGTCTTCAACGTCACAACCATTAACGACAACATTGGTTGTAGTTTTTTTAGTGCGTTGATAGAAATGCATAATTTTAGTTTTTTGCAGATTTATAATCAAGTTGTTATTATTGAGCCAATTTACTATATTATACAAAGAAGTGTTAATGTCATTTACGTAATTATCAGGGTTATTACACTTTACAATAGCTGTACTGTCATCAGCGAAAAGGACCATTTTACTATTTGTGGCCTCTGGTAGATCGTTAATATATATTAAAAAGAGTTGCGGACTTAGTACTCCGCCTTGGGGGACGCCATATTTTACGAGTCTTGGTTTCGACATATATATTGTCTCCAATTTACTCTTTGGGCATATCCTAGAGATTTCTGTGCATTGGAGTCTATTACTCAGGTATATAAAACAATATTATCATAGCCTATGAACATAATTACCCAGCTTCAACGTGGTTGATATGGCCATGGCTGGCTTAGGTATATTTAGTAAATAACTACAAAATTAAAAAACCTAATTTATATCCGTAGAATGATAATACTTACACATCTGCATCATTTCTGCAGCCCATATCAAGTTATCAGGATCTAAATGAGCCGCCAACTGTGCGCGCAATATTCGGCATCCTGAAATAATCATTTTTGTTTGTATTTTAATAAAGCCCGATCAAAATAAACATTTGACCTAGACATAATTCGCATAGAAGACATAATTGCGGTCGCGGCCGCATTTATGTCTATTTTCACCGGGTTGGTAGCCAAAGCAAAAGCAGGGTTAAAGGGTTACAAGTTTTGGTATCGGATGTGTGGCAATAGGTTTCTTGCGTCGAATTATATTCTGATATTTAAACGTCTGCTAGATAAAATGGGGTACGGTTTATGTTAGGTTATAAATGATGTAGTTAGGCGGTTACCATCATCTTGTGCTTCAACAAGACGGCGCACGATGTGATGACGTAGCGAGGTGCGATCTTCAGGTGGCAGAAACCGAGACCATAAGCTTAACAGTTCCAGAGTTTGTGACATCAGACGCACGTCTTGGACCTATATAATAATATTCACAGTATTAGTAGATACATAGTTAGATTTACAATATAATTAAATAATTAAAAAAATGATTACCTCGTCCATACCAATCAGTCTGTAATAGTAATCCAGTATAAAACCAACGTCTGAGTAGTCCACGTGTCTTGCCAAACTTGTCAAAAGTACCAAGCACTGCAAGTCACGTTCGTTGTTCACTGCAGACAAGTGTGTGCTCAATATGTCCACTAGACGATGGCTATTAAACAAAAAATATTAATCAATAATGAAAGACTTCATTTAAAATAAAATTAATGGAAAAAGGGAAATTATATTGCCACCGCTATACAGGTGACGTCAATATGAGAAAGACTAACCTCTCGCGTGTTTGTGTAGACACGGGTGTACGAGAGAGTTGAGTGCCCATCGCGCAATTGTACACACGGGTGTACGAGAAACGCGCTTCGACTGGATATTTTTTCTGTGACCTATATTTTCAAGTTTGCAACCCGTTCTTTATTTGATTAAACAGAATAGTTAATTAGCTTTTCTATTAAAATATTTACCCGTGTGTATGAGAACGCGCGTTTACCCGTGTGTACGAGAGGTGCGCGAGAGGTTAGTAACTAGAATAATAATTTTACACTAAGGTAGATACTAAAATACAAATCATAATCTATGTCACTACTTCCTATTATAAGTTACAAGAAGTTAACTCAAATAATATTTTATTTCGTCTCTGCTTGAAGCAGACGAGATATTAAATTCTAAAGATGGGATCATCAAATAGCAATCTACAAGCGAAATGATTACGTAAATGTTATGAAAGATGAATATAAAGTGCAGATCTTTTTAATAATCACCTGCTGACGACTTTTCATTTCTTACGGTAATTTCAATCATCAGTTTTTGGTAAATTATTTCACACATAATGCCTGTGGAAATGTAACTTTTTATAAGAAAAAACAAAAAAAAGTTTAATTACTGTAACTATAAATCTGATTAAATTGTCAAACAGTCAACCAAGTTATTGCACTGTTTTGCGATTTCCGGATTACTTGGCATCTAAGAAAAATCTTGCTCAGTATTACTATAAAAAAAATAAATAAAGTGAACGTCATAGAAATGATGTTTTCTAGTGTAGTAAAAATGTAATTTAATTTGTTCCTTACTTGAGGCACTTCCTAAACTTAGAAAGCAGAACACAGACTTTTTGCAAGTGCATCTTCATTTTATGTTTCACCATTCCTGCGAGGATCAACCAAGGCAATGGATCGCATCCTGACGTGTTAAACTTTTTGAGTCTATCAATTAGGACGTTTTCGATAAGAATCAACACCTGTTCTTGAAGCTGCATTAAAAAGAAAATGTACATTAAAAAAGTCATCAAGATTAAATAGTTATTTTTCAAAACTTAACAATAAAAGGAGATCATTTCGGCTCCATAGATTTTTGGGCCTTTTCTAAAAGTACTGGAGTTTAGAAGCAACCCGGACATATGTACGATGTATTTATGTCCATCCAAATGGAGCACTATTGAACTTGCCGTACATTCAACTTACTTGATTCACACGGTACATCGACCATGTAACCTGCCAGAGATATCCCTGTGTGTTTGGGTGACGACCGCACAAGATCTTTTCGCAATACAAGGCCGTATTCAATCTAGTCATATTGAGTCAAAAACGTATACTACGTGTGTACATTGCAATTGATCCAACACGTCGTAAAAGACTAGCTACTCTCGATGATAACGAACAATAGCGCGTTGGTCAGACACCATGACTATCGTGTGGTATATGGGATTTGCTTTTGCACGGTAGTCCAGAAGATAACACCGTAACATTTATTTTTAAGATGTGAAAATCATCGAATGACTGCTCTCGCCTGAGTGAGGCGGGAGGGAGTGTCAGACTCTTACTGACTAAAAACCACCCGTTCCTTCTCCTGCATTTTGAGCCGGAGCCCCGATTAACCGTTAGGTTCTCCGCGACCACACCGTAACATTACACACTGAAAAAAGTTTTGAGTAACAAATAACAAACAATTGAGTAACCTGTTACATAAAAATAGTGACTACATAACTATAGTTCTTATTAGACAAATTCAGTTTTGTTATTAGAGATCTGTTATTAGTAGCTCGACAAAAATGATAACTTCTTAACAAATTTATTATTCACGTTGTACCAAAGTGTTCTAGAATAAATAACTTAATATGTGTATTATAAAACAAAAGTGTTATGTAAAAATAGCCACGTTTCATTGTTAGCGCGTACAAATCCGTTTGGTTAAAACTTGGTCATGGGTTTGGTATAGTTCAGTTATTAGTTACATCATTATAGTATTATTGTAACCAAAGTATTTTGTTATTTGTAACTGAACTTTTCGGTTAAAAGTAACAGCACTATAATATTATTGTAACCAAACTATTTTGTTTTTTGTAACTGAACTTTTCGGTTAAAAGTAACATAACTTTTTAGTTAGAGTGACTGCTCCGATCAGCCCGCGAAATTCAAATTTTCTTATGTTTATTTGCAATTTGCAGGCCAGTGCTAGATTGTATGTTGATTAAAATATTGTTCGCGATTGTAAGACGTATGTAGTTACAGAAATAATAATCATCAAAAGCATCAGTACAATTCTCCAAGTTCTAAAAGGTCTAGCAATGACTTTGACCTTGAAAAAATCTTTTTTGCTAGACCTTTTAGAACTTGGAGAATTGTACTGATGCTTTTGATGATTATTAGTTCTGTAACTACATACGTCTTACAATCGCGAACAATATTTTAATCTACATACAACCTAGCACTGGCCTACAAATTGCAAAAAACGTAAGAAAATTTGAATTTCGCGGGCTACCCTGTAGCATCAGCCTGAAGTGTTTTTTTTTCTTGTAGATTTTCATTTACCTACCTATAAGAAGTTTTAGCAAGATATATCCTTCCCCAAATCTCACCTGCTATGGTATTCATTTCGGTTACAAACTTGAGATAGAATAAGAAAAACAACTTTGTTTTTACAATTATATTTATTTATTAAGTATCAAATCAATTAATTTTAGTAGGAACTTATAATTAATTCAGACAAAGAGCTAGCACACTATACTAGCCAAACCTAGCTACATACACTAAAATAGTATTTAAAATTCGATCATTTCCACTAGTTTCATTGAAGTTAAAAAATGAAACTAATGCAAACTACTTTTTTCATTCCATTGTAGTTAATTTTTGCTAAATGCTGTAAACATCTATACATACATCCTCACAAACTTTCTATTTCTATTTTCTAGTAGGAAGCATTTACCAAAAAATAACTACAATGGAAATAGTGGAAATAAATAGTTGCACTAGTTCAATGCAATGATAAACACTGAAATTTTGTCTTTCATGATTCAAAGAAAAATGTGTCATTAGGTTCGGTACACTTGTCAGGTCTTTCAAACATAGGAAACACTTGGGCATTTTAGTTTGTATGCTTATATGCGATTTATGTGATCAATGCTTGTTCTTTATGTTTTAATGCCGAGATCCGATATAAGTGTATTTACTGCAGTAAAGCTTTTATCATATTTCGTTTTTAACTCAAAAAGTACAGTTTGTACAAACTGCCAGACATGACGGGACTCTTTAGGATATTCAGCATTCAATACAAAAATCGCCTTTAAAAAAACTTCTACAGCTTTTGTAATAGTTGGCATTTCATATGTTATGTTATTAATCACTATGTACCTTGCTGTAATTGATTTATTCGGTGACACAACTGCAATTACAAAAGGTTGCATTTGAAGGTCCATTTCCATAAGCTTGTCTCTTTTTCTTGTTATCTCTACTGCTACCTCAGCTGGACTTGCGACTTGAGTTATGAAGCCTTCCAATACCTCTCGCTTTGATGGTCTCCAGTGTGTCTTTTTAGTTGCTTTCTTTGTAGAAGTAACATTTGATGTGCTCATCAAAAAAGGTAGCGATGTTAGAGCGGCTAAATCAGTTTGTTCTTCATTGGACTCTGTAATAAATAAGAAAAAATAAATAACCCTATTTCTAGCGCTGTCAGATAATTAAATAACCCTTTAGGTATCTCCATCAAAGGAAGAAATCATCAACATTGTTCTATAATTGTGTCTATAATGACGGTACGAGTTAAATGACTAATTAAGTATTAATTATTGTTATTATTACTTACAGTGTTCTCAAAAGCATTTGACATTATATTGGTCAAAAGTTTGATTTGTGTCGTCAGCTTAGCCTGGTGTCCAATAATTGGCACTAAGTCTTTCAGGTCAGCCTCTGATAACATTTGGAGAGTCTCCACATCAATGGATTCTTCTGAAATAATATGGATAAGTTTAGTCTTTTTATCTCCGCACTAAGTCAGTTAGTCAGCTTGTTTACTAGTACCACAGGACTTTTCTTAATAAAAATAAGAGTTGGTTGGGAGAGGACAGGCCCTAGGTTATGTAGGTGCGGGGGTCAGTGGTTCATCTTTGGGTGTGGTAGGTATGCAGTTAATAATATCATACACTAGGAAAGCAAAAGATCTGCATAAATAGTCAAACAATAGCTCATAACACTCCATTGCTGAACATATATGCGTTCTCCAATACTGCAGAGTACATAATCTCCATGTATGGAAGAAAACGCTGCTACCCGTTTCCTCAAGTGAAAAACACTCACCCAAAAATTTTGGAATGTAGGCTTCCAATCCCCAAGACCGCAGATAGTCCGAGATCGTTTTCTCTGCCGCCTCGTCTACCGGCGGCGGCTCCATTCTTGAAATCTTCTTGACGTTGCTTGATGATATATGATACATGCATAAAATCGAAAACGCGGCTTTCCCGCTCGCCATAGACGATGCACATTGCACAATAGACACACATCCACTACCTAGTACCTACACTCGCCTCGCAAGTACCTACTCGCAACGCAACACGAGAAGAACAGGTTTCTACAGGTTACTTCCGTGACCGTTAGTGTTTGATGTAACCAAAACGTTTTGTTATGCCCAGCATAACTTTATTCACCACCTATTATATTGCTGTATTATTGATAACCAAAAATATTCTAAAACCAACATAATCAATATTAGTTGATCTCAGCCAAATTTTTTGTTTATTTTTAGTAACTTTGCAAAACAAATCTCAACAATACTATTTAGCTGGTAACAAACTAATATAGCAGACTTGAAAAACAGCAACTATTCGTTAAAAAAATAGTTTTAGTTGGGTCAACTGTAAAGTCACAAGTGTGTAGAGTATAGCCAAACATATTATGTTGCAAAGTGCCGAAACCGAATTTTGTATTGGATAACATAAAATTTTGTAGCTTATAACCAACTCAAATAACAAAAATATTTTTGTAAAATGCAACAGAAGCAGTTGATCAATACGTAAATGAAATTCGTTTGTCTTTTATCAAGGTTTGGTTATTTGTGAATTAACTCAACTAGTTTTGTAAAATACTTTTTTCAGTGCATGATAATAATAAGATAACTACAGCTGTCGGAGGTCGAGGGTAGATCGTTATATAGGTTTCGAGGCCCTGGTACGGAGTAGGAGTTGGAACTTACTACTTACACGGGTATTTTTTAGTCAGTAACGGTCTGGCACTCCCTCCTACTTCCTCAGGACGAGAGGAGACAGTTGAAGATATTCTAACAAAAAAAAAAATACTTCAGCGAGAACGTTTCGCATTATTATCACAATTGCCTCAGATTCTTTATTCTAATCGATCATCATTTTGCGTTTCCTAGCACCTTTAGAAACTAATAAATGTATGAAAGTGATGAATCTTCGAACTGGAATAATTTCCTTATCTTGAATCCTACAACTTTCACGCCATATTAACGATTGCTCCAAATGGCTAGTTCTAACGATACGTATGTATCATTTTTTTCGTTAGCCGACACTTTCAAAAAGGCCCAAAAAATGATCTTCTTTGTCCAGAGTATAAGCTCTGAGAAATATTAAGAGTTTTGGGACACTCTGTATTGTATGATAATAGGCTACGGTTTACAGTTACATTTATTATTGATGCTTATAAAATATGAAGTTGCATTCATAAGTCTTTCTCTCTCTCTCTCTCTCTCTTGTTTTTACCTTAGTTTCAGGGTCACTGACTTGGTGCACGGGTCCTGTGAGAAACGCTTCAATAACTGATTCACTAGGTTTCACTGTCACCAGTTCACCTATAGCATTAATAGCAGCCTGTCTAACTAGTAAACTTGCATCCCGGCACAGATTCACTAATACCTGCAAATCCAAATAATTAATAGTTACTTTTCATATTGTGGACACTGGACATCATATGTATCAAGCACTAGACTTATGATCTAATTTTCTAAACAAAACGTATTATTTATAACACATACAACACAATAGTGTATATCTACATACTTGATAAGAAAAACCTAATATTAAGCTGCTTACAAATATTATGACCATTTCTTTTTTCTTTAAAATAACGTTGCCCCCCTCTAGATAGTCTCCAGTGTCGTCTGTGCGTTTACAAACATACAAGTTCACTTACACACACATTACACCCAGACCCGTAACAACAATCTGTGGATCACAAACAGTTGTTCCGTGCGGGAATCGAACCCGCGACACGTTCGACACGTTGCGCGGGAGCCAGTTACCCAGCCTCCGCGCCAACCGTCGAGCTTATGGCACCGACTTCTAACCTATGAGTGAGTGGATATCACTTCTAATAATAGTTATATTTTGCTTTTTAGTTTTTACTTTTTGTTTATTAGTTTTCGGTTTTTTTTGAAGTCGGTTTTTTAAAGGCTGTTTTTATTTTTCTATTTTATCATTTTTAGGGTAAAGCTTGAACTCCATCATTAGGTCGACTCAAGACCCTTATCAAATGATAGTGTTTAAAAAAACCTTTTTGAAAAAGTTAATAGATGCATTACTCGCCCCTAAAATTTTCAAAAGGCCGGTAACGCACTTGTAACGCCTTGGTGTTACGGGTGTCCATGGGCGGCCCCGTTTGCTTACTATTCCTTTTTTTATACCACGACGGTGGCAAAAAAGCACACGGCCCACCTGATGGTAAGCGGTTCCCGTGGCCTATGTACGCCTGCAACACTTGGAACATTACATGCGTCTTGCCGACCCTTAAGAAACCTATTCACTCCCCTCTTTAAGAACTCCATGTTGCAGCCCACTAGGAAAACCACGGCAGGGAGTTCATTCCACAATCGGAGGGGCCGTGGGAGAAAATTCCTCTGAAATGGAACTGTACGGGACCATTTGGGCTCCAATGTGTGGGCGTGAACTCCCTGTCGTTGGTGAGCGGTGTGATGATAGAAAGTCGGCGTGGGCATCATATCAAACAATTCCGCAGAACACAACCCATTATACAAGCGGTAGAACACGCACAAGGAGACAAATTCTCTCCTTAGACTTAAGTGCTCGTCGCGGAGAACCTAACAGGTTACCGGGGCTCCGGCTCGACGTGCAGGAGAAGGAACGGGGTGGTTTTTAGTCATTAAGAGTCTGACACTCCCTCCCGCCTCACCCAGGTGGGAGGAGTCATTCGATGATTTCCCCCCTTAAAAAAAAAGACTTAAGTGTTCGATACCGCTCGTAAGTATAGGATCGTCAACAAGTCTTACAGCTCTCCTTTGGACTGCGTCAAAAAGTCCAAGCTGGTATGCAGGCGCTCCTGCCCAGAGATGAGAGCAGTACTCCATATGGGGGGCGAGATTGTGATTTATATAAAAGCAGTCTTTGTCCCGGCGTGAAGTACCGCTTCGCTCTGTTTAGCACGCCGAGTTTTTTAGACGCTAGCTTCGCGCTAGATGTTAAGGATAGTGTCTTGGAATTTAGGGGCCACAACGAATGGGTTTTTTTAGCGGTAAACGAACAAACTTGTGTCTTAGAGGGGTTGAACCGGACCATATGGTCCCGACCCCAATCGGAGACTCGGCATAAGGAACTCTCGATTTGACACACAAATTTTACGCGGCTTTCTTCCACAATGGGGCGAGGGATGTTTGCACGGCCCGTGTAAGATGCGTCCCCAGTGCTATCATTAGCATAGCAATGAATACCCTCAACAGACAGCAAATCATTGATATGCAGAAGAAACAGCGTCCGAGAAAGTACGGAGGCCTTGCAGGACGCCAGCGTTTATGTTCATGCTTTCAGAGCAACTACCGTCTACGACGGCTCTTATCCGTCGGCCGGACAAAAAGCTAGCAACCCATTTGCACAATCCCTCGGGCAGTTCGTATGATGGCAACTTCGTCAGAAGACTCCGATGCCAGACCGTATCGAACGCCTTTGCTATATCTAGGCTAACTGCCAATGCCTCACCTTGACTCTCAGTGGCCGAGGCCCAACGATGTGTGAGATACACTAGAATATCACCAGTCGATTGTGGCGAAAACCGTATTGACGGTCGCTGAGCAGGTCGTGCTCCTCTAGGTATCGAAGGAGCTTGGTATTGATTACTCGCTCCATCACCCTGGAAAGAAGGGAGGTAATAGCGATAGACCTGGTATTCGTCGAGTCTGTCCTATCGCCCTTTTTGGGCACCGGATGCACGTAGGCGGTCTTCCACGAAGACGGTACTTGCCTAGCGTGGTAAGAAAGAGCGAAAATATGCGTTTAGAACAGGGCACAATTCAGGAGCACTGTGCTTGAGAACCACTGCCGGTATGCCGTCAGGCCCGCTCGACTTATGAACATCAAGACTTAGCAACTCCCGCCGAATATCTCTTTGTGAGAAGTGAATCTCCGCCATAAAGTGGCCGCAATGCGGGATGGTAGGTGGTATGGTGCTTTCGTCGACGTTCAAAGTCGAGTTAGAGGCAAAAAGAGTGCCTAACAGAACAGCTTTCTCCTTTGCACTGTGGGCCAGGTTGCCATCGGTATTTTGCAGTGGCGGTAAGGACGACTGACAGAAGTTACCCTCGGCAGCTTTGGCAAGAGACCAAAAGGCACGACTCCCAGAGGGATAGCCTGTTAACTTCTCGCCAATTCTGCCGATGAAATCGAATTTTGTTTTGGAAATTTTCCTTTTGGTGGACCTCGAGGCAGCATTAAGTTCGCGTTTTACAACAGAAAGATCAGGATCGTGATAGTTACGAGCCGTGGTACAAGCCCTATGCGTCTTGCTTGAGTTGTCTAGCAGTTTTACAGGACCTATTAAACCACGGTCGTTTCTTCGTCCCCGCAGCGACCAGCGAGTTTGGAACACCTCCTTTTTTGATGTTAAAAAATGTTGTTTTATTATCAATACATAGTTACAAATCTATTTATATACTAATTAATTATACTAATATTATAAATGTATAAGTTTGTGAGATTGTGTTTGTGTGAATGTTTGTTACTTAATCACTCAGAAAAGTGTTTGTTACACTTAAAATAAGGTTATATTAATTAACCGACTTCAAAAAATATGAGGTTGAAGTCGGTTGTTTTAAACTAGTTTATAAAAGATTTTTATTTTAATAAAGCTGAAGAGTTTGTTTGAACGCGCTAAAATCCGGAACTACTGGTCCGAATTGAATAATATTCTTTTCGAATTGGATAGCCCATTTATTGAGGGAGGCTATGGGCTAAAACATCACTATACCATCAATAAGAGGCGAGCAGAGCGGGTAAAACAACTAAAACAGCACGGGAGTAGCGATACGTTATTATAGAGTAGTAGACTACTGCCTACAGGCAGTACTTACGGTGAGGTCTGCGGAGCGCGGCGTGTCGATGGCGGGGTCCAGCAGTAGCTGCAGCATGAGGCCGGCGCCCGCCTTGCGCACGGCCGCGCGCTCGTCGCACACCGCGCGCGCCGCCACCGCCGTCAGGCGCGACACCGAGCCCTCGCCCTGCAGCGTCTGCCGAACAAACATTTACAATACACATTAGCGATCTATTTCAACCAATATGAAATGTCAACAGCAAACTTGTATAACCTAACGTTACCTTGACAGCATCAATCACCGGCTGGAGTTTGCTTTTGAGGCAATCATTTAGGATGGCAATAGCCCGCGTGCGCAGAGTGGCCGACTCGTCGTGCACTCGTTCGTACAGGGCTCTGATTATTTCCATGTGCGGAATTATGTGTTTGCGCGCACGTAAAATGTTGATTATATCATTCGGCTCTTCATCTATATTTTGCTACAATTGAGAAAGTAAAGTAATAATTGTATATGAACAAGTAATAATTTGGTCTTTTTTGACTATTAAACGCAATAATTAGATCTCGTTATTAGATAAATGAAAACATGAACAAAATATACCATTTCGCCAGATTCTTGGCTGCACTGACTATTTTCATCTGTTATAATGAATGTTTCTGATGAGTTTTGTTTACTTTTGTCATTTTTGGCATGTTGTCCTGTTGGAAATGGCGCAGCACTCGTGCTCGGCTGCGGTCCCCCATTAGGATCTTCGGCAACTAAAAATGGTAACATAGAGACATATACCTAACAGAGGTAGGTAGTAGATAAATTCATGATTTAAACTGTCAAACACCGAGTGGTCACCGGTGACCCGGTGACTGCAACCTATTGTTCTAATGACGGTACTCAACGAGTTAAATCATATCATGGTTTAATCCTTTGGCTTCACTGTAGTTAGCTAATAAATTAGTAAATAGTCGGGTAATCATGCTCTGTTTTTAATTTAGATTGCTCCATAAAATATATTTGTAATAGGTATATTTAAAAAAAGTACAATACCGGGAGAAATAGCATCATCGTTTTCAGTTGGCTGCTCAGTAGGGGTAGATTCATAATGATCACTTGCTAACATCCTAGCTAGTATTTCCTAAAAAAAATAAGATGAATTAAATTACAGAACAAAACAGTAATGTTTAATAACAAAAATAATACATCTTGTTGATACGAACTACAGCTAGCTGCCGATGTGGTAATTTCGAGGTTTTGGACAGTTGCAGTATCCATTTTGTTACTTTTTTATAAGCTGACCGAGACAAAAACGTCATCATTCCAGCAACCAATTCAGCCCGAATTTCGCGAACATCAGTTTTTTCCTGAAATTTAGGTATATTTTATTACTTTAACGTTAAAACTGTAAATTACAAACAAACAAATCTTACCTTTGAGGCAGTGGAAATAGTAAAAGAATAAAATAATGAAGAGCTTACAAAAATATTTAGGTACCTACCTTATTATTTTTATAATATTTTAACTTAGAGACTTACCAAACCATCTAGAGTGTGACACAGATGTTCTAAAAGAATTATGTAACTAGATAATGCTGGTTGGGCATACTTTGCCATTGTGATAACTGAGTAAGTCGAATATGCTGGACGAATATGTTGTTTCTGAAATCAATTTATAATTTTTATTTAGATGGTAGCCCCAGAGGCTTATATTTCAATTCTATCTATATCTATTGACATAATAAAACTGTAGAAGTGTAAATTCTGTAGGTACATCGAAAATATTATTAAAATAAATAGTTGGGGTGTTACTGATAGATATCGAACCCAAAAATGTGTCTGTCTGTATGTTCACGCAACACGCAGAAACTACACCGGTCCGATTACGATAAAACTTCGTATGATTATATTTTAATATCCTCACCAAACCGCTGAGTAATTTTTATCCTTAGACACAATTACTCTAAACGAAAATATAAGTTTAATAAATATTAGGTTGCCCGCAGTGGACTTTATGCTAACTATTGGTTGAAATTAGCTTGAACTGATATTATAAATGTTAAAATATGTGACTTTGTGTGTATGTTTGTTACTCAGTCACATCGAAACGGCTGAAGGGACTAAGATGAAATTTGGAACAGGGGTAGATTATGGTCTGAAGTGACACATAGGTTTTTACCCCTGGGAACGCGGGCAAAGTCGCTGGCAAAAGCCAGTGATATAATATATCAAGTATAAATTAATATATTAAAATCGTGCAGTCTTAGTTCCCTTTTTACTACCTTAAAAGAAACAGGAGAAACCAGGCATGTTTATAAAATGCTGTTGCAATGTGAAGCAAGGAGAACTTACTTATTTGTTTATATTATAACATTCGTGAGACATACTAAATTTATTATTGTTTTCGGCTTACTCACTAACTGTTTGACTTGACGAGGAACTCGACTAGTTTCAAGCCATGCTTGAGGCCATTCGACGCGACACGGCGACTGTCGCCCTGCTACTGGCTACTCGAGGCGGAGTGCACGCCCAGCACGCCCTCTGCCGTGATTTGACAAACACTTTCCTCTATCTGTGGCGGCGACACCGGGGGTGCTCGCGACTCTGTTTGTACGTTCGACTCGAATCCCGGGTCGACGCTCAGTGTTACATACCGCGCTTACTGCGTCACACTCCAGACCGCAACATTGTAGTCTGACGCAGATTTTACACTCTGCTTCCAGGCAGGCTTCGGTTTCGGTTCGTTTAAGTTCGGACGACAACCTATTTCGATGGCCTTCACATACTTTCCGCGGTACAAAGTATTTCTGCTAACTAGCTAGTACGGGTACCTTGTCGAAACGGAAGAAGTGAGCCGTGTCCGCGTTACAAGCATACTCAGTCGGTTCTTCACACTGCGTCGGTATTCCATGAGTCTGGTTATGATGTTGCAGCAAATTTCCTCAATATAACTCGAGCCACAGTCGCACGGTTATATATATACTCCGTAAATATCCAGGAATATGAGCCTCTAGCATGGTTTGAAAGTATTCACAGCACAGAATATTAGTATTATGCAGATTATTCCTAACATAACAACACAAAACTTTAATCATTGCATTGAATTTGTAATTAAGGTAAATAAAAATTTAAAATATTTATTTTATATCCTACCGTGAAATCATGTAATTTATGATTATACAGTTATAATAATATGGTTACAAGTCGTCCTTAATCCTTTAAGTGGTGGTACTTTTCACCATTTCTGACCAATTTGACACAGAAGCCCCATATCCTTTGAATTTCTTTTATAACAATTCCAGATTTTCGGTGATTTTCCCCTTCTTATTGTTTTGTGTCTCAATTTTGTTCTGTTGTTACTATTTTTGTACAGAACATTATTGTTGCTTTATTATTTATTTTAAGTTTAAACCATAAGACAATAAGTAACTATACCAACAGGGGCATAGTAGACGAAGGACTGTTGAAACTTAAATAAACCTAAATAACCTTGTATTATCTGATACAATTCAAATAAATATGAACTTACATTAATACCGCGATTGTCCATGCATGCAGCGATAAGTTTAGGAAGGATGCATTTAAAAAGTATCCTAAGAGCTTGTTCATTGTGATTGGTTTCCGATTTACATAGCAAAACATCTATTATGCTGTAACTGGTTTCAGAAATTTTTGTTGCTAATATCTTATCTGAAATATAAATAATTAAAGTTATTGTATTATCTGTTACCTATAATTTACCTATAATATATAAATCAAGGGTTAGTATGACAGGTATGTGTTATGTGTACTTATATTCAACTTCATACAACTTACCAACATGTAATTTTGTAACAAACTTATAAGCCGTGGGTTCAATACAATTACTCAGAATTTCCTCAAAATGCATATCATCTGGTGTTAGTTGTAAATCTTCTATAATTAATTTCAAGTCATCTACTAACTTAATCAAATGATTTAAAACAGAGTTTATTTCTCGAGTGAGTTCCCCTGAAGTATAATTAGTTTCCTCATCACTCATAGTCACTGGAAAGCTGAGGCATGACAGTGATTGAACAAACAGTTGCGAATGATAAATATTATATGTTTTAGATCCTGGTATTCTCAACAACTTAAAGTAAACTCGGGATACTAGTAAAGCATTTAGCCTATATTCTCTGATGCGGACATTTTTGCATCCGTGATTTATATAATAGCTTATTAGTGCTAACAGCTTCATATGATCAATTGTTTGACTTAGATATGCCCATGAATTGTCTTCTGTTTCGGCCTCAAGCCACGAATCCAGTGTTGTTATTATATCCATAAAAGTAGTTTCTAATTCTAAAGAATCAATAGCATCCTCGTATTCTGGCGGCAAATCATGAAAATCTAGATATTCACTTTGAGAAACAGCTTTAGCCCAGCCGTAATCGAGGCTCTCTAAGCGCAAACTTTGTAATATGTTTATAAGATCCATCGTGTATTACAAATAATTTATTAAATTATCACACTTCTCAATATTTTGTTATATTGTACCATAACAATAAACAATAACTCATATTATCAATTATCAAACAGTCAAGTGGAAGCGCTACGGCTAAACCTCAAACCTGTCATTTACTCATTTTTGACTGGCTTGATCATAGACTAGACTAATATAGAAGAGACGAGAGTAAGAGATTGCACAGAGCACTATTGGCTATTGACAGGGATGCGAAGTAACCACAGATATATAAGGAGAAGCCATAGACTTACAATAGATAAGCAGACCAATCATTAATTCCTAGATACGATTATGTATAACATTTATTTATTTATTAATAATTACAGATACAGATGAAATCACGAACAATTACTATCATAGTTATGATTTTTTTTTGTAACGAAACGTTCGGAAGCGCTTGTCAGCGACAGCTGACACGTAATAATATTGACACTGACAGCTGACAAGCTGTCAGTGTCAATATTATCTTTCATTCGCTCTCTGAGTTTCCGTCATTGATGTATAATAGGGGATTTCAAATATGGTCACGTGATTTGATGCCAAAAATACCTCAAAAATGGCGGATCTCCGCTCACAATAGTGTTGTACCTACGTCGACATAACATATCGACATAGGCAATTCAATGTAAATATAAAATAATAACTTATCATTTAGTTCAATTCGAAACAAAGATATAAAAGAAGAGCATTCACATAATCATAATCTCACTTATATTATAAATACCAATACCATTGAAACCTTCAACGATAACTTTATATAATATTCTTAAGCGAGTACTGTATTGAAAAAACCTGACCCTTTCAGAGAATGTTGAAACTTATTTCATATACCTATATAAAGTCAGACAACTAAAAATCAAACAGTTATACCATCGAACACAGTGCGTTTTCCTGTAATGTGAAACAGTATGCTGGAATGGGGACAGGGGTAGGTCAGAGTGCATTATAATGAATAAATGTCAAACGTTTTGCTCATAATAATAATATTCATGGCGAAACAATATAATTTTTTTTAAAAGATTTCTTTTGACACATTTTATTCCTGCTTTTTGCCGTAATATTTATATCTTATATCTAAATATGTAAGAATAACAGTTTATGAGAACTCTAATGTGCATTCCATTGAAAATTAGGCCATTTTCAAAAAGAGTAGGAATTACGTTATAATATTCAATGTTCTGTTCACATAATCTTCTTCAATATGGTTGAAGCATATTGTTAATACTGATGCATGTTTTATAATCTCCTTGCCTATTTTTTTATTTAAAATCTAAAGGCATTGTTAGAGAAAGTAATTCTCCATTTGCTAGCCCCATATTATTGGTGAAAAAAAAATGGAGATGATCGCCTTTGTGTTGATTTCCGAGAGCTGAATTCTAACACAATTCGTGACCATTATCCACTTCCATTAATTCAGGACTAAATTGATAAATTAGGCAAATCCCGTTATTTCACAAGCCTAGACATGCAGTCACCGCCCTGAGGACACGGTGGAACACACGGTGGGAGAATGCCCTTCGTGGGCTGAGCACCGCCGTGTCCTCAGGGAAGTGATCGGCGATGGCGACCTCTCGCGTCCGGGCCTAGTGCAGGCCATGATGCGGAGCGAGGGGGATTGGGATGCCGTCTCCTCCTTTTGCGAAGCAGTCATGCTAGCTAAGGAGGAGGCGGGACGCGTGAGGCAGCGAAGCGCTGCCTCCTCGCAACCCAGCCATCGCGAAGGACACACCGGGCGTCGGGGATCGCGGGACGATCTCCGGCCACCGTAAGCGCGGGCCTGCGGACGGCGAGCATGGGTGGCTCCCCGTCCGACCAGAAACAGACCCGAGCGTACGGCGCGTCGCGTTCCGCGCGCGCCTCAAAGAGCCATCAGACCACCACAGATGGGGCCCAATAGGGCCGATGCCGATTCGGAGTCGCGGAGAACCTAACGGGTAACCGGGGCTCCGGCTCGACGTGCAGGAGAAGGAACGGGGTGGTTTTTAGTCAGTAAGAGTCTGACACTCCCTCCCGCCTCACCCAGGCGGGGGCAGTCATTCGATGATTTTCCCCCCTTAAAAAAAAAAAAAAAAAAAAAAAGACATGCAGTCAGGTTTTCATCAGATTCCCATTTCCGAAAAATCTATAGAATAAACAGCATTTGTCACACCTGATGGCCAATATGAATATGTAACCATGCCATTTAGCTTATGTAATGCACCATCAGTTTATCAACGAGCTATAAATACCGCTTTAGGGGAATATAGGGACAAAATAGCCTTAGTCTACATGGATGACATATTAATACCATCATATAGTGAGCAAGAAGGACTTGATCGGTTGGACTTGGTACTAAAACGTATTTCAGAAGCCGGGTTTACCATTAACCCATCCAAATGTAAATTTTTAAAACGTTCCGTAGAATATCTTGGTAATATAATTGAAAATGGTCCAGTTAGACCTAATCCTCAAAAAATTAGTGCCTTACAAAATTCAGAGCCAGCAAAAAATTTAAAACAATTGAGGCAATTCAATGGCCATGCAAGTTATTTTCGTCGCTTTATTCCAAATTTCTCACAATTAATGACACCATTGTACAATTTAACAAAAAAGGATGTTCCATTTAATTGGACCGAAAAACATGAGAATAATAGATTAAAAGTAATAAAATGTTTGACTTCTGAACCCATACTTTGCATATTTAATCCAGATCTACCAATAGAGATTCACACTGATGCTAGTTCTAGAGGACTTGGCGCAATGCTTATACAACTTGACAACAATCGTAGAAAAGTTGTAGAATACTTTAGCATGCGCACTACGGACACAGAAGAAAAGTATCATTCTTATGAACTCGAAACACTAGCAGTAGTCAGAGCCCTCAAACACTTTAGACATTTCCTTTACGGACGCAAATTTACCGTCCACACAGATTGTAATGCACTAAAATCTTCCAGTACAAAAAAATAACTAACTCCAAGGGTCCATTGTTGGTTGGCATTCTTACAAAATTTCGACTTTGATATTGTATACCGTAAAGGAGAATAGATGTCCCACGTAGATTTTCTTAGTAGGAATCTTTAAATAAATATTCTTAGAAAAGATCCATCTTGGATAATTGTAGAACAAGAACGAGATTCTGAATTGTCCAAAATACGTGAAGCTATTGAAAATAATGATGACTATGACAAAAAAAATTGCCTTAAAAGAAATCATTTGATGATTACCATTTAAACGCAAAATAGTAGATCTATCACCCGAACTGTAGTACAAGTACCAGACTCACTCGTAATTCAATTAATCAATCGATATCATGATACTCTTTTACATGCAGGCTGGGAACGCACTTTAGAAAAGATTAGAGAGCAGTTTTGGTTCAAGCACATGACTAAAAGGGTCCGTTCATTTTGTGATAAATGTCTATCATGTAAAATTAGAAAAGAATACACGGGTAAAAAGCAAATATGCCTCCATCCTATAGACAAAAACCAAACACCTTTCCACACCATCCATGTGGATTTAATGGGGAATTTAACTGGATCTACACGGAAGGCTTATGCCTTTGTAGCAATTGATGCCTTCACAAAATTTGTTTTCATACGTTCATTAAAAGACAAATCTTCAAATATGATACTCAAGTGTTTCCAAGAACTAATACATCTTTTTGTTACCCCACCAAGAGTCATCTCTGACCGAGAATCCGCGATAATGGGAACTGAAATACAATGCTTCTTTAGAGAAAGCAATATAGAACACCATCCCATTGCACGAGGAACTACTCGAGCTAATGGACAAATAGAAAGGACAATGAGAATGTTAAAAGATCATTTGGCATTTATTGCTCAAAATCAATCTAGGGTCTGGATTACAAAATTAGGAGAATTACAATTAACTATGAATAGTACAAAAAGTAAGGCAACTGGCTATTCCCCACTAGAGCTCCTGATAGGTAAACAAGGGTCTGCCCCAGCTATCGAACAGATGTGCGTTCTATCTAATCCTATCGATAGAGATACTATCCGTGCAAATGGTGTTATCAGAATGACCGAACAGTCATCAAAAAATAAAGAACGTTTCGATTCCAAGTGCGCTAAAGTAAAGCTATTGCAACCAGAAGACTTTGTAGTTTGTAAAGATACACAATGGTCTAGTAACAAATTAGGTCCAAAATATTTAGGCCCTTATCAAATTGTTAAAATTTTAGATAATGATCGATACGAACTACGCAGTCTCCGTCCTGGTCAAAAAAATACCGTAATATCTCACGAACATGTAAGGCTTGTACCACAACCATAATTATGCTGAATGAACCGTGATAGCGAATGTATAAAGTTCACCATTAGGCCTCTGAGTCTACTAGAACAAGCTCACCATTGGGCCTCTGAGTCTACTAGAACAAGCTCACCATTGGGCCTCTGAGTCTACTAGAACAAGCTCAACATTGGGCCTCTGCGTCTACTAGAACAAGCTCAACATTGGGCCTCTGAGTCTACTAGAACAAGCTCACCATTGGGCCTCTGAGTCTACTAGAACAAGCACAACATTAGACCTCTGAGTAGCCTTGAGTGTAGCCTCTGAGACTATTAGAACAAGCTTAACCCAACAGAATAAAAAATAACTCTGAATAATTTCATTTTATTGTTTATTTTTTACAGAACAATAACTTCGCAGACTCGAGCACGAGCTGCTCGTCAGAATGGCCGTGATAGCGCGTTAATTAATTACGATTAAATAATTTGAGATTTTTAAATTTAAGTATCGAAATTTACCCACAATAATATTTGTTTATTATTAATTTAGTTAAAACGTTGTAATTTAAATTAAAATAACATTAAATATTGTAACATTCAAATAACAACACGTACAACTTGCATCAATGTAATTGTATTTGCACTTGTTTACAACCTTACGTCACTTACCTTACGAAGGTAGGTAAGGTGGGGAGAGTGGGGACTGTTTATAAAGCAAGCAAGTTGTACGAGTTGGGGCAACTTGCAGGGTGGTGGAGTGTTCAGCCCTGAAGCCGAACTGTTCGCCGCGTGGCTGGAGGTGTGGGCGCAAATGCAACAGCAGCAGCTTCTCGAAGAGCTTCGAGACAGTAACCAGGAGCGTGATAACGAACAGTTCGGCTTCAGGGCTGAACACTCCACCACCCTGCAA